AAAAAACAAAACACCATTTAATTTCGGGTTAAAATGTGTTGTAACTGCGTTACTGAGCATTGTAACGGGTAATATATTACCCATATTTCATAAGTAATGCGTTACATTACTTCGTTACAGCAAAAAGTAATATATTACTGTAACTCCGTTACTTTTGTAACGCGTTACACCCAACACTGGTAGGCAGTGCACTGGATCTCCCTGCATGCATGTTCAGGATCTGATCCACTGGCAAAGTCTCTGCCATCAGCCAACAGTTTAGCTCCCATCACACTGAGGCAGTTCATCTTCCCTGCATATGGCGTAGCAGACAAGACAGGAGTCAATTGACTATCTATTCTTGTTTTCAATAAGGTTTGCCATCCAGATATATACACCATTAGCTTAATAGACTGGTATAATCTTGCAATTGGAAACTTTTTCCAAGCAATCTGATCTGGCATACTGCAGTACATCAGTTGCTTAAACCAGCTCTACAGCTCAGCCAGCCATCCATGCCAGACTAAAGGATGGCTTCATAAATATTCCTCTGAGCCTGATACAAATTTACAGAAATACATATAGTAGTAGAGCATCGTCTATTCAATTGGCATTCGACAACATAGCAAAGAATAGTATTCCTATACGACTCCTTTTGGCTAAAGGGGCTGACATTTTAACTGATCAAACTGTGACGATGTTCCTATATATATATATATATATATATATATATATATATATATATAAATTGAATAATTAATACTCCTGCTAAGTAAGCTCCACGTCTGTCTCTCCGCTCTAACCGAGTGCTGAGCACCGAGCCTGAAAACTGGACCTGTCATTCTGTCATCTTATCAATCTTGACGCTCTTTCTCCAGAATTGAGTGTTTCCCATTCACGTTTATAATTGCGTTTAAAATTATAGCACAGTGCTTTCTTTCTCACGCACGCTAGTGTGGATGGGGACGTGGCCAGGGTACTCACTGGACAGTGACAGTCAGCCATCAGCAGTGAAGGATGGCATTGTGTACATCTCCATGCTCTATGGCTCTACACAAAACAACTGCTCTCCGTTATACACATGCAGTATATGAAGTAGCTGGCTAAAACAAAAAAACAGAATGATTACCAATATTTACCTTTAGTTCTTGCTTTATAATAACTTGTTTTTACACTTTTGTTATGCAAATGTTGAACTTATGATACAAGGTTGAAATAACAAGTTTACTATTTCTGTTCCTTGATTATAAGATGTTAACATCAGTGTTTCCCCTACCATTGTCTTGGAGGGGCGCTGCGCCCCGCCAACGGAGCCCCACGCCCCCCCTGAAATTCAAGGTGTTTAATTTTTTTTAATTATAATTTCTTTTTTTTGTATTAATTTTCTTTTATTATATATTATTTATATATAGGACCAAATTGCAACTAATCTATATCTACTGTCACTTTTCACATTGAACATGTGCTCTTTTATTAAATAAACTGAACGCTTTCATTTTAAGTTGTGAGTTTAGTGTTTTTGACCCTAAGAAACACTGATGCATTAATCAAAAACAATAATCCACAGCTCCTCTCTCTGCTCCAGAGGATTTAAAAAATATATATATATCCCAATGCCCCCCCCCCCTAGTCTTAAGAAACTAACCTAAAGTTAAATAAAGAGCACAACTTTCCTTGCATACTTCAACATTTTTTACTCAAAACTCCACTTAAAATTGTTAAATTGTACTGTACAAGACCATGGAATGCCCCCCCGTGCGTACCTCAAACCAGTGGCTTTGTGATGTATTTTGTTACAGATTTATGAGAGCTTGGCTGCAGACATGGGCCTCCTCCTGCTGAGTATGTTCTGCTGTCCACTCATCTGTCTGACTAAATCACAACCAGTATAGGATTTAACAGCATTTGTATTCTCTTTCGCTGGTTCACCTCCTGAGTAAACTCCTGTCCTCCTGGCTGCTGATCCTCTGATCCAACAGGACTCGCCGGGCAACTTTTATAATGCACTAGCCCTGGCCAAACACCCTATATGTCATTCCGTTCCCGTGTCCTTTTCCTTACATATCTCTTTCTCTATTCACTTTCCCCTCACTGTAGTATGTTGGACTGCTGTCTAATGTATGCTAAGCTGCTGCTGCCATGGTAACCCGGTTTCAGGATTCAGAGACAGTTCAGGACTGGGGGGGGGGGGAGATACACAGGGCAGGTGGAAGGCTCCCCTATAGAACACAGGATCGCCTACAAAGCCCTTAATGGGCAGGCGCCATCTTACCTTAAAGAACTCATTATATCCTACTGTCCTAGGGCATTGCGTTCCAAGAATGCAGGGTTGTTGGTTGTTCCTAGAGTCTCTAAAAGTACAATGGGAGCCAGAGCCTTTTCTTATCAAGCTCCACATTTGTGGAATCAGCTTCCAGTTTGTGTTCGGGCGGCAGACAGCCTATCCGAGTGCGCTTAAGACCTTCCTTTTTGATAAAGCTTATAGTTAGCTTATAGTTAGCTATATAGCTATATATATAGCAGCTAGTTTTGCTGCTATATGCTTAGACTGTCGGGGGGAACCTTACTTCTTCCTTCTCTCTGTGTAGAACTGAGAGAACTACATGAGAGAACTGTGTACTCTCATGTTCCAAATAACCCAGCTTCCCCCAAATTTGTTTTTGGTGTCTATCTACGCCGGGATCCTGAGTCGTGGATGCTGTGTTCCTGAGTCCTGGATTTCGAGTCGTGGCTGAACCTATCACTGTGCTCCTGCCTGACTCTCATCATACTACTTCTCTGATGGCTCCCACAGGATTGTTGACATCCTCGTGGATTCATCTTCCTATTATACACACATGCATTTCCAAACATTTGGACTACCTATGTTGCAAATGTATTATCTTTTCAATTTACACACGGCATCTATTGCACGTCTGTCCGTCCTGGGAGAGGGATCCCTCCTCTGTTGCTCTCCCTGAGGTTTCTCCCATTTTTCTCTTTAAACTGTGGGTTTTCTTCGGAAGTTTTTCCTTGTACGATGTGAGGGTCTAAGGACAGAGGGTGTCGTATTGTCATACTGATATTCTGTACACACTGTGAAGTCCACCGAGACAAATGTAACATTTGTGATATTGGGCTATATAAATAAACATTGATTGATTGATTGATTGATTGATTGATTGAAGGGCTGAGCAGCCTTAACTGTAATCCCCCCTTTCCATCTCCAAATAAGATAACAGAGTACACCCAAAGACACACACTCAGATTAATCCAGCACTATATGCAGGATGTTTGGTATATTTCAGTGTTTCAGGGAAGGCTGGGGGAGTCAGGATTTGAGTGGTGACTAACAAACAGTAATGAGGTGACCAAATGAGTAGGGTTGCAAAGGGGCGGAAAGTTTCCGAAAAGTTTCCATGGGAAGTTAAGCTGGGGAATTTTGGAAATATTCGATGCAAAATTAAACAAAAAAACATGATGATTTCAACAGATTTTTAAAAAAACATTTTTTTTTTTAGTAGAACAAGTTTTAATTATTTTATTGAACAATTATTTGTTTCATTGAAGAACGAAAACAGGAATGTTGAGTTAAATGTTACTCATCCCCCCCCAACCCCACTCAACAAAAATGCACCCCCCATCCAAAAATACCCACAAAGTCCCATTCAAAATGTTAAATGAAAAGAGCCCTTCTCCCTCCAAAAAGTCCCATTAGACATGCACATCTTCCTTCAAGCAATCCTCTGCATTTTGGCTAAACCCTTTCAGTCAATGGGCTCTTCCTGGGCCTCATCAACATCCAACTCTGAGTCTTCCTCTTCAGTGTCACTGTCCAGCCTTGTTGAGGATGGCTCTGTGTCAGGCTCAAAGAGCCTTAGGTTTGCCCGAATGCCAACCAGTTTTTCCACTCTCACATTTGTGAGCCTGTTGCGAACATTTGTGTGGTCTCAATAGCCATGCAGTAAGCAGTGTGCTATGGCATGGATATTCAAGTGTACTTGAATGGCATCTGTTTGTTTTGGTCAAGATTATGCTAAAATATACTTTCCCCAACTATATTTAAGTTCCCGAAAATTCCCGAAATGTTGCAACCCTACAAATGAGTCACAGCCTTAGTTTCCATGTCTGATTCTAAAATGTGTCAAAAGGAGAAGAGTTGGAGAGGAGTTATTGACATAGTGTTCCAGCTGTAGTTATATGATATTTAAGATTAAGGGCTGTTTGTTGTGCGTGCGATCATTGCCTGCATATGTGACAGCAATATTTGTCCTAAAACATCTTGTGAAGCGTGTGTCTGTATTGGATACAAGTCCATCTGTGTTTTTGTGAATGTGCATGCTTGAGGGTGTGTGTGAGGAATGAGTGCATGGGCATGTGGGCTGGAGCGCTGACGTAACTCTCTGAAAGCTGATACAGCCTCGGTGCAGGCAGGGGTTCATAACTGGCTCCGTCACTAAAGGAAGTCTGTATGAGGGGTTTTCAGCAGTGACGCTTAGCGATGGCTTTCTCCCAGTTGCTATGGTCTGATAGGGTGGGTGGGGGTTAAATAGGGGGTGGGATGGTGACTGTGCAAACTCACCCTATCGGCTCAACTATAGGGCTCAGGCATGTCTACCGATGCCTCCTCTCCTGCATGCGCATTCCCTGGTGTCATTTCTCCTTGAGGCATAGAGGAAGCCAAGTAACCCCCCATCATCATAACACACTACGCACATACCAGATTCTCCAACTGTCAAAACCAGTTCATTGTGATCATTTACCTCACATACAGTGAGAGTTATTATACAGAGGAAGACACACACGCACAGAGAGCATAACACGATGTACACAGGCAGGCACACAAACACACACTATCATTTGCTCCATGCCCCCTACTCTGACTATAAACAAACTAGCATGCTCACCAAACTACGACCTGAGGTGTGGTCCCTCACTCCACAAACACATACTCTTCCTCCTCTCTTCTCCACTGTGATGGTGAACGGGGAGGGGGCGGTCTGTTCCTGAAGGTGTGTGGCAGCCTCGTCCTGTGCTCTTACCTGTCCAAGATGTCATGGCTGGACGTGGTCGTGGCTCCCAGCAGTCCTAGTGCTGCACTCCCCACCGCTGCGGCAGCCCCGCCGCCTGCCTCCATGATACTGACTCACTGCAATGAGCTGCCTGCCAGAGGAGCAGAGAGGGAGGGGAGGAGGAGGATGTGGAGAGGTAGAGCGGGAGGGAGAAATACAAATGAGATTGAAGAAATTACATGTAGAGGATATAGGGAGGATGACGAGGGAAAACAGTGGGGAATATTAAGAGAGGAGACAGGAATGAGGTGGAAAATGAACGGGAATATTGGCATGTGAGCAGGATGAGAGAACAGGGAGAGAAAGAAAATCATTAGTTGTTTGTAGATCAAAAAAGTCATGCTGATGGAGCTTTGCAAAGCAGGATTTCACTTTGTGTTAACACATGGAGATTCTGGCTCACACGTTCTAGTGTGAATGCAGTCTGACAGCAACATTGGCTGCACTGGTGTCCTCTGATGACTGTGCTCTATGAGCTCTCTATTTCAAAACAGAATATCAATCGAATAATATTTAAGCCAGTCCATGTTTTATTTGAAATATCATATTTTATTATTCTCTACAGCAGCACTGTGTCCACACATTCACCGACTTAGTGACAGCTTTCATACGAAGAAGAGAAGCTCAATGCAGTTTTCAAGTATGTTCGATTTCAATAAACATTTATAGCAAATTCCCCAACGAAGTATAACGGGCGGCTGATGCTCAGGAGGAAGATGGTCGTCCTCCAATCGGAGAATCGTAGGTTTGATCCCCACCTAAAAAATGCTAAGGGAGCGGCCAACAGTGTGTGAATGTGAGTCTCCCTGATCAGGTGTACTTTGTATGGCAGCCATTGCTTCCATATGAATGCGTATGAATGGGTGAATACTACAAAAGTAATGTATTTTTATGGTTGTAAAGAACTATATAAAAGGCAGCTCATTGACCATTTACCATAAATGCAACACAATGACACACATCCGAAACACACTGTTAAATGACTAGTATTTTTAAAGCACTTTAATGTATATAGTTTATATTTACATAATAGAAATTGCAGTAAGGGGTGCAAAACGAATGTAATTATATCGTAAAGTAAAAGTCAGACATACAGTTAGTGAGTCCAAGACCTCAGTCCCCCTGTCCAGACTGCTTACAGAGCAAGGGTCTGCTAAACAGTCTTCCAGTCAACCAGCATGTCGTGGGGGGGGTGGACGACTTTGCTTAGAATGCTTACCAACTTTTTCTTTAGGAAAAAAAAATAGCAAAGTTGCTTCAGGTTTTTTTTTCTGTCCATAATCTATACAATTAATAATGTAATCATTTCAGCTCTTAAAGTGCTGTTTACCATTTCAAAAGGACAGTACCCCAGCAAATTACAACCATTTTTTTTCACAGACACCGGCAAACAGTGAAAACAAAATAAGGTTTCTTAAAAACAACGAGAGGACCGTAGCATTCCCTTCTCGTGATGTCACCGTTATTCCTATGGAATTATTTTCACAGAGAACATGCATTCTTGAAACTGATTAAGGTGAATTTGGGACTATCGCCAGTGCTTTCAGTGTACCCATAATCACAGCAGATAACTACCACTACATTTAAATGTAATGTTTTCAGCAGACAGGAACACAGCAGGAATGACCCAATAAAAGTCTGGAGGAGAGGAAGTCCGTAGTCGTACAGCCTGTTTTTCTGTTGCAGTCACTGGCTATGCACCGTAATCCCAGGAGGATGATGCCAAGACGAGAGGGATGGAGGGACGATGGGAGGGGGTGAAGGAGGAGAGAGCGTGGGAGGAAGGATCCTTATAGGCCACACAGAAGCAGCTGCTTGTACATCTGACAAAGACTCGCTGGGCATATGTTATCCCCAGGGCTCTCTATGGTGCGCAAATTAACACCATATTCATACTATCTATAATAGTAATCAATAAGAATTACACATTTTCTTAATTACTCTTCGTTTTTACTTTTTTGTAACAAGAATTTCTTTAAGTTGCTGAAGTTAGTTCACATGTTCGAGAAAGTTTTTTGTACTTAAAAGGCTTCAGGGATCAAGGGCAGTATGAAGCTTTCCTCGCATATAATACTGGCCTTGACCGCTGAAAAAGCCTCCCTCAGAAACAAATAGGTCACCCTGTTTTGAGCGTTAACTAACTAAGAACATCCAGACAACCTGGCTGCAAGTGAATCGAGGTGGAAAGATGATCATCTAATGAGGCTGTATACACTCATAGATTACTTTATTTTAACCAACACCATATTGACCGGACAACAACAGTGCATGGCATTTCGACCGCTACAAACACGTGAGGGTTGTGATGCGAGCGTGTGCTGTGGACACAGAGTACATGTTGAGATTCATCTCATATCCTGGGCTACTGTAAACTCCTGGCCCTAAATCACACACTAACAGGAAGGCCACAAGCTAAACCAATGTGACAGAGTGAGTGTGTTTGTGTGCTAGTACCTGAAAGCATATGCTATCTGTGTGGAAATCCACATCTAATTTGTTTGTTATTTTAAGCGTGTGCAGTATAAGAGGAAGTGAGTTTGAATATGCCAGGCATGCAGGGTAAGGCAGGCTGATGCAGCAGAAAAGCCATAAAATGGCCGACCTTGAGAGGACAGAGACTAAGCTCTGAAGAAATTAAAAATACAGTCTGAATAGTCTCACACTAAACATCCCTTATTCTCACCAGGATGGCAGAGTTATTGATGACAGTAGAAGTTGTTCATATTAGAATCCAAGATTGTGTTTTTGCTGCATGTCGTTTCCTCCCTTTCCTGTCTTTTTAATAAAAGTAAAAAGGCCACTAAGAAATCTTTATTTGTAAGTGTCAAAGACGACATAAGAAATATTTGGTGACAACCTTTTTCTTATAGTTTAAAACTAATAATCATAGGCTTTTTCAAGCAGTCATCCAGGGCACCACACATTGCATCATCCTCTAAAGGCCCGGACACACCAAGCTGACACCAAAGAACTGACACAGACGGACCCGACTGTCCATGAATGAGTCCTTAAACCTTGAAATAAGCTAGCTTTTTACCACGTCAGGTTCCTCAAAGTCCGAGGTTTTTAAATGTTTTTTTTTATAGAAGCTTGAAGTAAGGTCTGCGGGTAACACAAGCTGAAGAGATTTTTATGTTTGACATCAAATCCGTCATTAAACACCCCTCTGGGGAATGTTTGAGGCTTCGACGTGTCGTAAAATGAGCAGTTTCTAACAAGTGGCTAAATGAGACTTAATCATCACACTGAACATTAGCCACCTTTAGCTTAGCCATGTGATGATGTAGTTTGTTTATAGCCTAACGTTAGCCTTTTAGGATTTTGAATTGGAACTAAAAATAAACTAAAGAGAGCAACTTCATACAAGGCTACAAAAATAAGACAAGAAAAAAACCGCTGGGACAAACTATGAATACATACAGGCAGCACATCAACATTCATATAAGCTAAAATAATGATGAAGTCCCTTTTTCAAACGCAATAGGATGTGGGTGTAACTTTACTGTTGCTCTCATGTCAGATGAGGAACAATGACTCTCCTCATACAGGGGTCATTATGAACTCTGTTTGAACAGGACTGTTCCCTGGCAGTCAGTCTGCTGTATTACTGCAGAACAGAGACACATTACAGTGTGGTTTTACCAAGTCAACAGATCCTTTTCCACTAACCACTAGATGAGAACAATACCTGTAACCACGGTTACTGGACACAAAACAGATGGTGTCAGCTTTAGCCTAATAAAGATCAGCAGACAAAACTAATACACAATTAAATCAAGACTTAAATAAATATCATTGTTGACAAAAGTTTAATCTAATCTAATATTTGACAATTACATTTGAAAAATAAATCCTGTTTTTATTCAGACTCAAAATCAGCTGCCACACATAAAAGTCCTTTAGGTTCCTGTATAACATTTTGCAGTTATTGCTATTATTTCTCTTTGAGCAACAGATTTCATCTCATGCTAATGAAACACAATGCACTAAAATGCACTCAACGTGAAATCACTTGCATGACCTTTTACTCTACGGCAGGGGTGGGGAACTTTTTCCTCTCAAGGGCCATTTCAATTTTTACAATATCCTCAGAGGGCCGTACAAATTATTGACCTCTGCTTAAAAAAACTAAAATCACAGCCCATTCATTTCATTCTATGCAAAGCAACCTCTTAATCCAGATATCTCACCATGACTCGCGTATGCATGCTCGTGCACGGTGTGGCGTGACCACCCAAACAGAAAGATATGGACACAAGATGTGTGCAAATGTATTTAGTTTCCTATCCATGTGGACATGATTTAAGTGGGGGGGGGACCTAACCTCCTTTTTTTTATGTTGAAGTTAAAAGCATCAATCTGTTGCACTTTGGGAGCAACATTAGGAGATCTATGGATACATCTCTCAACACCCATATGAAACAGAACTGGAAGCAGATTTATTTTTCTTTATGGATATTTTACAAATCACTCCCCTTTCAAACTGTATTCTTCTTTATTAATAACAACTTTTTTTACTGTCATATAGTATTTTATACCCGTTTACTTTATTCTCTTATTTTTTGATAACTATAATGATCATATAAAGATGTGCCTCCTTTACCTCACTGGTTGTAGAAAAAGCTTCTTATATTCGTTAGCATAGCTAGCTAACCAGATGCTAATAACAACAAAGTTATTGACTGTATGATCAGTATGACAGATGAACAGATCGCCACTGGGCTTACAACTAAAGACACAGCCACGCAGAAACTGCAGCTTGTGTACGGCTCCTTATCGGTACTGCAAGTGGAGTGGCGTTCTGGTGCTCTCCGTCAGAACTGCACCGCTGTCAGTCGAGACATATACCACGTGATGACACGTTAGGCTCGTGTTGTGTTCAAGGACCCTGACCTTGGCCAGGAAAAACAGGCACTCGCTTGTTTAATTTTTTTGCGGTCTAGATTTCTTACATTTTTTTCTTTTTTGCGTGTGTTTATAAATTACCTCGAGGGCCGTACCAAATTGTCTCGCGGGCCGTATACGGCCCGGAGGCCGGAGGTTCCCCACTCCTGCTCTACGGATACCATTTAGAGCAAAATACAGATCCAG